GTCTTCTCATCCAAGAAGCTTCTTCAGGTCTTCTCATCCAAGAAGCTTCTTCAGGTCTTCTCATCCAAGAAGCTTCTTCAGGTCTTCTCATCCAAGAAGCTTCTTCAGGTCGTCTCATCCAAGAAGCTACAGGTCTTCAGCCGAAGAAGCTTCTTTGATAATAAGTGAAACGTCTTCAAAGAAAAATCAGAAAGTCCAGTTGCTTCTTGGTTATCCCTCTTGGATAACCATTCCCTGGATGACTGAGAATCTCCATAGACATTTAAGATGTGTAAGACTTTTTTTTCTTGAAAACAGGTGTAGAACAGTATTAAGGCCTTAAAAATGTACATGTTGGTTCCTCAGATCATTTTCAACCCCCCCAGAATAAAGATGTAAGCCAGGGGTGAAATGCTACTGGTTTGGGTCAGTTCGCCTGAAACAATAGTAAAAAATGTTACTGGTTCACAAAACCAGTAGTAAAAAATACTAAAAAAGAAAACCAATACCGACTATCGCACGTTACATAGCTTTTGAACTTTTTTTAAACTTTTAAAGCATTTTTAACTACATGTTTTCCGGAAACGTTAGTATGTGGGAGGTCCATTTTTGCTCCCAGCAAGGTTCCCTGAGGCATCCTAGGCCAAAAATGGGGGGGGGGGTTTGCTAAGAGAGAGAGAGAGAGAAAGAAACAAAAAAAGAAACAAAGAAAGAAAAAAGGGAAGGAGGGAAAAAGGAGAGGAAGGAAGGACCACAAACCTGGCACTAGAAGCAGCTTCAGAGGATAATCCAGGGTTGGAAGGGACCTGGAGGTCATCTAGTCCAACCCTGCTCCAGCAGGACATTGTTAAAGTGAGTGTCTGTCTTTTGATCTCCCACTTACATGATTACATAACCATGCCCACCTAGTCACATGAACACACCAAGCCACGTCCACAGAATCGGTAGTAAAAAAAAATTAGATTTCACCACTGACGTAGGCTCTCCCCACTCCCTGGGGCACAAAGCCTTGGCCTACTGTCTGCTTCAGACTTCCCAAGGACATTTGCTATATCTTTCAGCTCTCAATGTTCCGTCAATACATTGATGTCAAAGGAAAGTGTTTTGGTGGGAGTGATGCTGACAGGCAGAATGTCAATCACACCAGCCATTAGGGTATTATTCTTAAATACTTGGTAAGCAGCTAGCAACCTGGTTGTGAAAAAATTGAGGCTCCCATTAAATCCCTGCCATTAGTTTGAGAACTGCTGCTATGGAGATCCAGGCTACTTTTGTGAAGCTTCAAGCGGCAGCTGTAATTATTTAGCGCCTTTTGTTTGGTGTCTTATTGAGGTAACCATATAAAAGAATCCCATGCCAGGACTGAACCATGATTAAAAACAATAGAAAAAGTGCTTTGGGGTAAAGTCATTTACATAGATCTGGTATGAAATTATGATAATATTAAAATCTATTTATTGAACAGCAGGTACTGTATGTGCTTGTGATTTTTTTTTTTTAGAGTAACGTGCTTTATAGTTCTCTGCTAATTAGTTTCTAAGAAAGAAGAAAATCACCTCCAACATTTTAATTTGCCTTCCCTTGCCATTAGGGACTTGTTTCTAATTTGTATTCCTTTAGTTTCTTTCAATGAAATCCAAGAATTCTGTGGAATCCAGGATATTTCATTATATGTCTTTGTAATGTGCGGTAAAGAAATGCTGCTCTCTGCTACACAGTAGTTTTTGCAGGGTGCAATCTGAGTTGGTCATAGGGACTAAAAGTTTATTCTTGCAAGTTTTTGGACTTTTACTGAAGCCCATCCTTAAGCAACTTCTCTTTACTGGAATATGTAAGGATAGAGCCAAGGTGGCGCAGTGGTTAAATGCAGCACTGCAGGCTACTGCTAGATCAGCAGGTCAGCGGTTCAAATCTCACCGGCTCAGGGTTGACTCAGCCTTCCATCCTTCCGAGGTGGGTAAAATGAGGACCCAGATTGTTGGGGGCAATATGCTGACTCTCTGTAAACCGCTTAGAGAGGCCTGAAAGGCCTATGAAGCGGTATATAAGTCTACTGCTATTGGATTCCAGCATGAATACAAAAGCTCAGAAAATTTTTGGTCCTAGTGACCGACCCATATTGGATCCTGTAACATTATACTGGGACACACCTTCAGTCATGATAATTTTTTTTCTATTCTCACTTATTCTTCTTTAGCATCTGTGGCTGGTGGAACAAGTAAAAGTGCCAAGAGTATCACTTCCCATCTTAGTGCAATTACAAAACTAATTGTCTTCCAAACAATTGTGCCCAGTTGCCTGAAGCAGTAAAGATGTTTTTAATAAATGCAAAAGTTACCTTCTGTACTGTTGAAACTAAAAAGTTCCTTTTTAAAACCTTCCCAATCCTGATGAAAAAGTACCTTTAGTAAACCTGCTGAAATCTTAAGTTAAACATTATTTTGAAATGCCAATTCCACTATATTAGAACAGGATTATTGTTCCTCTCCCATCTTTTCCTTCCTACAGTAATCTGGAAACTTTTAGTTTTCTGACAGATGCTTAAGTATCTCCATTTGCAATGATGAGACATGCATGACATTGAGAGCAAATCTTGGTTCTTGAAGAAAGCTATTGTTTTTCAGAATTCTACCCTCAAGCCTGGATCAGTCATGTTTATTCACAAGCATGCTAACAAAGCAGTTTTTAAACAAATCTGAAAGAGGAGGACTAGCTGAGAATGTGTTAACCCAGCAATGCCAAGAGGAATATTGGTGTAGAGGAAGATTTTGTCATTGCAAGCTAACCCAAAGCTTTATTTTCTGTTGCCTCTCATAGGAGTGATATGTTTTGAGGGTATCGTTTTCCTCCAGTGTTTTCTTATCTCTCCTTCACAGATAGCACAAAGGCCAGTGGGAAAAGGGTTGTTGGAGATGTAGCTTATGCTTCAGCAAAGGAGAGAGCAGCCTATATCACCCCTGTACCTGGTGGGGTTGGACCAATGACTGTTGCAATGCTGATGCAAGTGAGTACCTCACTTTGGGGAACAGCCTTTTTTCACTTTCCACTGAGTTTCTGTGTGCAGATGCCTAGCAGTGCTCTCTGTTTCATCCCACACAGCTTTAAATCCTCTAGTTTTCCCAGAGTTCCTTTAGATCATGGCCAATCTTTCTCCTAAGGTTCTACATGCAGTATAATTAGGGATAATAATAATCCTCCAGTGAGACATTAACTTGACATGGTTGGGCGGGGGGGGGGGGGGGGGCTTGCATACTCCAAGGAGGATGAGAGCTACGCTAGAGGTTTAACTAAAGTGCACAAGTCTAATCAGAGGAGCTAGATGAAGAGTCTCTGGGTAAAAGGTGAGTGGCTGGCCGTCCCCAGCTCTCGAGGGAGCTCTCGAGGAAGGAGGTAGTGATGAGGCCCATGGCTCGCTTCCCTTCATCCTTCCTCCAAGAACTGCAGCTGAGACAGGTGATATGGTGAGACATAATTTACCAAAATCCTTATTGGATGGGTAGTCACCCAGGTCCTCAAGCACCACAGTAGATATTTCTATGTATTTCTTATTTACCTGGTGATAAATAAGCTCAGGACGCGGTGGCTCAGTGGCTAAGATGGTGAGCTTGTCAATCAGAAAGGTCGGCAATTTGGCTGTTCAAATCCCTAGTGCCGTGTAAAGGAGTGAACTCCTGTTACTTGTCCCAACTTCTGCCAACCTAACAGTTCGAAAGCATGTAAAAATGCAAGTAGAAAAATAGGGACCACCTTGGTGGGAAGGTAACAGCATTCCATGCATCTTTGGCATTTAGTTATGCCAGCCACATGACCACGGAGACGTCTTCAGACAGCAATGGCTCTTCAGCTTTGAAACGGAGATGAGCACTGCACCCTAGAGTCGGGAACGTATGTGTGTGGGGAACCTTTACCTTTAAGCTCAGGACTGTTGCTGAACAACTAATACCAGCTCCTGCAGGACTATCCATCGCAAATAAGCAAACACTGAAAACAAGAAATAATGATCTGCTACTACAAATTAAATCCAGTGAGAAAGGATATTTTAAAATAATGCACCAGTTCTGGAAAGAACAACATCCAGAATCAGAAATAAACAAACCAACTAATGTACAGCACTGCTGTAGCTATAATTGAATAGCTTTGATGCAAAATCAACAAACAAGAATAAAAGCCAAACAGTGCATCACCCAAATGAAAATCAGGCTGGAAAATAAGACAGCCTGCTAAAGATCAGATGCAAGCAAGCTAGAATGGATAAAAGAAAAGTTGAAGAACATGAAGAATGAATAATACCTTATCAAGCAATATCACTTAGAAACAAGGACAATTGTGACTCATTGCACAATCAGCCAGATATTCAGACTGGAATTTGCATTTTTGTCCCCCTATCAAGTCTTTCCCAGGGACCTGGGATAGGCAAATATGGATGTTAAAAGTATCATCTCATGATGTAAAGCTGCCTTCTGCAACTGATTGATGGTGATTTTGCCAATGCTGGTGGTGTTCAGCTCAGAGATCCTATATGGAAAAACGCACCTGAAATAGAATTGCTGTTCAACACTGTCCATATAAACAGCCAAGATGATTTTGGAAAATTGAAAGAGAAGGAAGACCAACTTGCATGTAGCTTTATTGATTACAGTAAAGCTTTCAGTTCCGTGCCGCATGATTGGATAAGGCATCTGATGCCTGGCTTGCATTAATGACATCACAGGAAACTGCAGCTACAGGATCACAATTTCTGACATTCCCTGCTGGCTTTCCACAAACAAAATCAATAGAGAAGCCAGAAATTGTTCCCACTTCTGCCCTTTTTTTCCCCACTCACCTGCGCTTTCGTTGCAATGATTGAAAAAAATACTCTCTATTTTCTGCTTTTCTTAAACAATAATTAAAGGCATCTCACTAAAACTTTAATAAGTATTATTACTTCTCTTTTTTTTCTTCCAGGTTATAAGTAGAATGCATAACATCTTCTTTGCTCATTTTATTTACAAGCCATCTTTTGAATATATTTGGTTTTTCGGATGTGTTTGACTGATCTAAAGTTACTCAAGGAGTTTTGAGACTGAATAAGAATTTGAATCCAGATGTTCAATACAATAATATTAAAAGAAAATAGAAACAGTGAATAATATAACCCACTGTATCTCAGATAAACAATAAATAGCACTTATATGACATTAAACTGGTGCCTTCCAGATTTATTTATTTTCTAAATGTAAAATATAAACTTTTAGAGACTGGTCCTATAATACCTCAAGTTCTGTCTTCCACCAAATTTCGATTAACACCAGTTTGCTTATAGAAGCAACAGGTCGATGAGACACCATCGCCACTGCTCTACATATTGCACTGAGCCACCTTGAGAAATCTGGGAATTATGTCAGAATGCTTTTTATAGACTATAGCTCGGCTTTTAACACCATCTTACAGGCGTTCTCATTGAAAAGCTGACTGACCTGAATTTCCCTCCCCTCACTTGTGATCAAAGACTCCCTGATGGATTGTCCACTTGTGATCAAAGACTCCCTGATGGATTGTCCACAAACAGTAAGNAAAAAAAGTTTTTGTACACTCTGCAAACCTCCTGAAAACGGCCCCATTTTTTTCAAAAGCTTGTAGAGTGCTCCTGGGGGTAGGGCCCCCAAAACGAGCAAAAAACAGCCCGTTCTCACTCCGTTTCTACCCTCCCCAGCCCCCAGGAGCTCTTTGAAAGCCTCTTAAAGGCTATGCATGGCCATTTTGGTGAAGGGGCGGGGTTTCGGGAGGCAAAAAAATGCTGTATTCAGTGTATAAGATGCATCCAGATTTTCAGTGTCTTTTTTGAGGGAAAAAGGTGAGTCTTATACTCCGAAAAAAACGGCACATTAATCTTTTCTGTATCATTGCAGAATGGAATCCAAGAAAGAACAAACAGCAACTTTTAGTGTGTCTCTCATAGTATTTCTATTTATGTATGATTTTTACACCCTTCCCTTTCTCCAAGGAACTCTGCAACTGTATTCACAAATGGTTTGTTGAAAAATTCAGATTTGGCTAAGTTTAGACAATGCAGTAAGCAAGCCATATATCATGGTTCACGGTAGTAAGCCAAAACCAAACAAACTATGAATAACTTTTAGCCAAGGAATGGTTCAGTTGGATAGACAATCTCATTAGGATTTTGAATGAAATCATTACTTCCTTGCTGAGAAATTAATTAATAAACCAGAGATTGGTTGCATAAGGGTCCTCGTTATTAAAGTGGAGTTTCTCTACCCATCTGCTCTCCAGTTTAAGAAACTAAGAGGATTAGTCACACCTGTCAAACAGTTGCTATCCTCCTACTTGCTGCACTTCTATAAAGGTTGCTTTTATAAGTGATCTATCTTTTAATTGCACTTAACTAATCAAAGGGTTAAATAAAGATACTCATTTTCTTAGCAATTGCGGCTCACTTCATTATCTGCCTTTGAAGATGAGCAAAAAGTCCATAAGGTACAACACTAGCTAGCTGATTCATTTCTCAAGAAGACCCCAGTTGGCTCATTTCCATATTGGAAGGGGGGAAGACGTTGAATTTGAGCTTGCAGTAAGCTAAAGCTCATGGGCCACACATGGCTCTTCATGATGATGATGAAGACCAACCTGATAAAGAAAATGCTTAGGGAACATCAGGAACCCAGCAAGCCCAAAAGGTTTTACCCATTTTTGGGGAGGAGGATGTGAGGTTTTAAGACAGTCTTTTTCAAACTTTAAGATGTGTATCCCAAGGGTGCTTTTTCAAGAGGCTATTAGTTTTTCTTTGAAGACATTTCACTTCTCATCCAAGAAGNTAATAAAGCAGTGTTTAAAAAACAAGTCTACTAATTTGAACATTCTATAGGCATTTATAATTATTGATTTACCTCCTTGCAGCAAACAGCCTGATTAACACAAGAAAAAAAAATCTGCCTCTGCCTCCCAGCAATTTGCTACATGGAGCAAACAGCAAGTTTCACTTTCAATTTCTCCAGATCATCAGGGGTTTCAGGCTGCAGGGATTACTATAGTTTGTTGCAGCCCCTGTTTGCTGCAAGGAGGTAAATTGCTGGGAGGCAGAGGCCAAAGGGTGGGGGATGATGGGTGGGTGGGGTTACATAGTGTATAAGATGCACCCAAATTTTCACCTCGGGGGTGTGTGAAAAAAGGTGTATCTTACACTCCAAAAAATATGGTAATTTGGAAGTAGATCTCACTGCCTCTGAAGTCTTGGGGAGGGGGAGGTAGAATGGGGAGATTAGGGTTTAGGAAGTGAAGAAGAGGAAATAAAATAAAATTATGCTGCAGGAACCTGAAAATAGTGGTGTTTAAGTATATAGCCATTTGATCTCTTAGAGGTAGAGATTGTTATATTGGCAATTTGTCCTAATAAATATCCCTGTAGAGTTCAATTTGTTGTCTCCCAGTCAAATATAGAAATACTAGGTCAGGCATAGCAATGGTGCCTTCCAGACATTGGAAGTATTCTGAACTCCAGATGGATGAGATTTTATATAAGATGTAATCGAAAACATCCAGAAGATACTAGGTTGCCAGACCTTCTACATAAAGTAGTTTACATACAGTAATACAATCTCTAAAGGAATTCCAACATCAATGTAGTAATAACAATACAAGCAGCTTCATGGCCCTCTGCTTCTAAATAACAGTTATTTAAAAAGATAAAAACTTCAGCACAGCTCTTCCAGAAGAGTACCTGTCCATTTGTCCATCTATCTCCTGAAAGTCTGTTCAAAGTGTTCGTTTGTGTGTGGATGGATGGATGGATAGATAAACACAGACATGGAAGAAATGCAATGCTAGGAATGAATGTATACCCTATTTTTCGGAGTATAAGATGCACCAGAGTATAAGATTTTGANCAACCCTGAGCCGGTGGGATTTGAACCGCTGAACTGCTGATCTAGCAGTAGCCTGCAGTGCTGCATTTAACCACTGCGCCACCTTGGCTCTAATGAGAGAGTGGAATGCCATCTTCTCCTTTCTCAATATAACTGTTATTTTTCAGTGACATTGAAGTTTCACGGTCATGTACTCCTAAGCCCATTGGTGAGCTGGCCAGAGAAATTGGCTTGATTTCAGATGAAGTAGAGTTGTATGGTCAATGCAAAGCCAAAATCTCACTGTCAACACTGAAGCGTCTTAAAGATCAACCAGATGGAAAATACATTGTAGTAACAGGGTAAGTTGCCTTAAATTATTTCTACACCCTGATAAACTAGCAGGGTTGGGGTCTTTCTTAACTGACTTGGGGAAAGAATAACAGGTCCCCATGAAAAGTCTATAAAAGCATTTACAATCATTGAAAGTCTTTAGCATTCAAAGATTCCTTAAATACCGTATTTTTTGGAGTATAAGTCGCACCAGAGTATAAGATGCACCAAGATTTTGAAGAGGTAAATTAAAGAAAAAAGTTTTTGCACTCTGCAGGCCTCCAAAAAATGGCCCATTTTTTATGAAAATGGGCCCGTTTGTGGTCAAAAAAAGGGCATGCATAGCCTTCAGGAGGCTTGTAGGGTGCTCCTCAGGGGGGGGGGGCAAAAATGAGCAAAAACCTCATTTTTTGCTCATTTTTCCCCTCACCAGCCCCCAGGAGCACTCTGGAAGCACGACCATTTTTGCAAAGGGGGTGGGGTTTTGGGAGGCCAAAATGCTGTATTCAGTGTATAAGACGCACCCAGATTTTCACCCTATTTTTTGAGGGGAAAGGGTGTGTCTTATACTCCCAAAAATACGGTAGCTAACATAGTTTTAAAATACTATACACCAAAGCATAGCACTAGTATATACCAAGGAGACAAAATATTGAAAATATCAATTTGTCAATTCCAGAATACAATCTGAACATAAATCAATGAAAATTTCCCCAAAATGTTGAGAAGGGCAAATATAGGAGAACACTCATCTGATGTTTAATTAAACATTTATAATTATACCATTACAGAAAATGTTCTGTCCCTTTAAACTGAGCAAGCATGTACAAAAAGACCTTCTAATGGCCAAGTTACTCTCTCTTAACATATTGTAATTAAGTGAATTGTGCCTATCTCTTTTTTAAAGGTATTCTTATTCATTTTTTTCTAGCATAACTCCCACACCACTGGGGGAAGGGAAGAGTACAACAACTGTAGGGCTGGTTCAAGCTTTGGGTGCACACCTTGGTCAGAATGCCTTTGCCTGTGTCCGCCAACCTTCTCAAGGGCCTACTTTTGGAATTAAAGGTACAGATTGTGTCAGCCCTTCTTCATTCAAAAATCAGGAAAGAAAACCACAGGACTCCATTGGTAGAAATCAAGTGTACTTTTACTAATTATAAATGAATAGAAGCGAAGCGAAGTCTGATTATTTAGGCGCGAAAGCAAATAATATATTGTATAATTCATTCCCCTCCCCTTGGCATCCCTGCACAGTCCAATCATAATTCTTCCAATTGTCAGGTGTGAGATAACTTCGAAAGGCATCACCAGGATGGAATGCTGGTTCCGTTGGCCTTGACGGGAAACACTCCTCCACCTGCGCAGTAAGGTGGACAGTTCAAAATCTAGAATCTTCCTCCAGCACAACAATGAGTCCCCTCCCAAATACCATGCCCCCCTCCCCGTTTCAATGGCAGCCAAAGCAGCAGCAAAGCGGAGGCTGACAGATTGCAACATTCCACGCCAGAGGCAAAGCTGTAGCTTGCCAGTTGTACACAATTTACAATGCCATGGATTCAAATTCAGTCCAAGGCATCTCCATTGAAGTAGTTAGCAGATGATAAGAAAAACTTTGACCTGTGTTTCTGGATACCCATTGCAATGTGGCATTATGCTAGGAGGTTAATTGGTTGAATGAAGGAAGACAAACAGCAAATATATTCAGCCTAGTGTCTCTGATATCCTGTGTTTCTACAGATTGGTAGATTTGGTTTGTTTACTGACCCCCCCACTCCCACTCCGAAAGCATTTGTGCTGGTAATCTCCAATCTTTGGTAAACGCCAAGCAAAAAGTTTGCTTACTTTTATTCTGCTGGTTGTATAAACTTTGGAAGGCTCTGGGGGAAATATTGATTATCCTTGTTTAATGACTGCCACTTTTAGAAACCATTCAGTTTGAATGCTGATATAAAAATAACTTTGTAAGTTTTAAGACCTTTGCAGGTCTGTAAAGTTGAGGAAAGCTGAAGTAAGATCATAGGCCCAGTCACAGTTTCACTTAATGACCTATTCACTTAACAGTAAATTAATAACTGAGTTACTAGTCCCAATTGTGATTGCTAAATGAGGACTACCTGTAAGAAGTTGGCTAGAATGCACAAGCAGAGGATATTAGCAGAAACATCTGTAGAATTTTCACTATCATGATAATACCCATTATTTAAGTGTAATGTTTTAGCATGGTGATATTAAGATTATAGACAAGTACTTGACCTATTTTTATTACTGTTAATAGAATGTGAGAAGGTACAATCACTTGACTTTGGTCCTTGCTAAAGATAATGTATCAATTTTAAAATAAGTAGGGTTTTTTCTTCCAATGAATAACTGTTAAACCCTTTAATATTCACAATTTGATGCATTGCATTATGTTTTATATTCCCCATTAGGTGGTGCAGCTGGAGGTGGCTATTCTCAAGTTATTCCTATGGAAGAAGTAAACTTCAAATTTATTCCTTTATAAATACACTGGGTGTTCATCTCTTATATGTGTATTCCAGGATGTCAAAACCTATTTGGTCAGAAATTTAGAGTGATGGGAATTCTTTTCCCTGATATTATATGGAGAGAATCTGTGTGATTTGATCCTGATGTATGATTCCCAATAGTCATAGGCATTCAGCTTGGGGATAGATATTATTTCCAGTCCTTGTCAGTTCTGCATGCATTTAATCGTAAATCCATTCAACTATGAACAACATTTTTGAACTAATTGCAAAATTTAGAGAAATGTATAATCAGGATAACTGTTCCAATCTCTGTGTGCATTCAGATATTAGAAATTAAATTAGTTTGTTTAAACATGTGGAACAAATTAAATTCTCCTCATATACCAGCTTTGTTGTAGATGAACAATTTTGGGGCTTATTAGAGAAATGCTTTTTATATTAGATGTATTGTAAATTATAACATTGGAGGGTTTTTCCCCCAAAACATTTGGGCCACAAGTTAAGGAACTGCAGTAATCCTACTTTATAAAGCACTAACACTTTGTAACACTTGCCACTTAAAGTGTGGCAAGTCAAGTAAACTGATCTGGCATATCAAAGGGAAAGTAATTTTTGTACACACTTATAGAATTGGCTGTCACAAGGCACCTGATTTAGAAAATTAGGCAGATTCAGGGAGTATCTGCAGGGTGTGGTCTCAAAAGTCAAAGTAGCCATCATGATGTGATTGAAGTTCTCTGCCTGTTTTTATGTACTTTGGGAGATGCTTCAACAAAATCATCACAATCATCTTAGAATTAGATTAACAGAGTTGGAAAAGACCTTGTAGGTGATCTAGTCCAATCCCCACCCCCTCCGCACAAGCAGGAGACCCTACACCATTTCTGACAAATGGCAGTCTTCTTGAAAGCCTTCAGTGATGAACTCCCACAATTTCTTAAAGTTCATAACTTATTCCAGCTGCTTGATTGTTCTCACTGTCAGAAAAATTCTCCTTATTTCTAGGTTGAATCTCTCCTTGATCAGTTTCCATCCATTCCTTGTCTGGCCTTCAGGTGCCTTAGAAAATAGCTTGACCCCTTCCTCTCTGTGGCAGCCTCTCAAATATTGGAACACTGATTTCATGGCTCCCCTGGTCCTTCTCTTCACTAGACTAGCCATATCCTGTAACCATTCTTCATATGTTTTAGTCTCCAGTCCCCTAATTATCCTGGTTGCTCTTTGAACTTTTTCTACATCTTTTAAATAGTGTGGTGACCAGTACTCTAGATGTGGTCTCCCTAAGGCTTTATAGAGTGGTATTAGTACCTCACTTGATCTTGATTGTATCCCTCTCTTAATGCAATTTAGGATTGCATTGGATTTTTTGGCTGCCGCTGTACACTGCTGGCTCATATTTAACTTGTTGTCCANGCTGCTTTAGCAGAGTAAGGAAGATAGAGATGATTCACACCCTGGTCAATGTCTCTTCGCACTTCTACCATCGGGCAGAAGATGTCAAAGCAAAGCCAGCTGAACAAATAGGTTTTAAAATAGTTTCTATCCTTGGGCTGTCAGACTCTTAAACACAACCACAATCACTCCACGCACATGTGGAAACGTATGTTTAGTTTTCTCTTTTTTCTTTTCCCCTAACTTGCATTGGGATTATTCCTTTGGAATTTATGTTGTTTGTATTTGTTGTCATGGATTGCACCAGTGAGGCTAAAACCAATTTCATTGTATTTATTTTGTACAATGACAGTAAAGACTATACTACTATATTATACCAGCCCCACCTGCTAAAATGCCCAGCTAGCACAGAGCACCAAGTCTTCTTAAATCTTACCACTGTAACGCAACTGAAAAGCACAAGTTGAGGAAGTTTGGGTTAAACTGAGAAAAAGAAGATAATAAGGCTACTTTGCAGTGTGTATCACAACAAATTAAAGCCCTGGACAAGCAATATAGTTAGAATCTTGATGTGTATTTAGGAAGTTATGCAGAAGTAGGTTTCTGAAGAGTAAATATAAATTGTGCACCAAAAATGCAAATGACTTACACATATATTTACCTAATTCTGTATTTAAAGGATATAGAGTGCTTCCTGCCTTTTGCAGATTATTTTGTGCAACTTAAATTTTCTAAACAAGACAAACCAGATAGATTATTGGTTACAGTAATTAATTTTTATTTTGTTTTCTTTTTTAAAACACCAATTCAGAGTACAGTAGAAAGTGCTCAACGTTTTCTTGAGACGTATCAACCTGGCAAGTGGAATATTCAGTATAAGCTGCTCACTCCTGTAACTCCTGTTCCAAGGTAAGAAAGAAGTAATAAAATTAGTCTAGAAAGGGTATGAATGGAAGTCTATATTTGTCCCTTGCTGTGTCCCAGTGAGACAGAGAGCAGGAGAAAACTTGTATAGCCTCTATTGGAGTTTCTGCTGGAAATGGACATCAGCACATTCATTCAAGTATTATAACATAGAATATTTCTTTTCATATCATGCCTTTCTTATGTCTCCTTCTGAGCACTCTATTCTGTGCATATTTTCTTCTCTTATCCAACATACTCTCTCAACTACGGGAAAGTTCTAGGAATGTCAGTTGTCTTTGGGTTTTTGTTTTGGTTTTTTGTGGCCTCATTTTTTTTCCTAAATGCATTTTTGTGCTTCAATTGCCACTGCTGATTATACAGCTATTGACATTTGGAGGAAGAGTAGCTGTGGATTGTGAGGCTGCAGAAGTAGAAGTAGCTGTGGGCTGCAGAAAACTGGACTTGTTTGTTGAAATGTGTAGGAAAGCAAGCACATCCTGAAGAAAGATTTTCACCCATTCTTCTTCCTGCTTTATGGTTTTCCAAACTTTGGGGACGTTTTCACATAGAAAAGCATTCAGGAAGCCTGCACTTTCAAGGTCCAAAGAGAAGGGGCAAATTTAGGTGTGACTTGTATATTCCCAATACTTAATAGCAATAGCAGTAGACTTATATACCGCTTCATAGGCCTTTCAGCCCTCTCTAAGCGGTTTACAGAGAGTCA